AGCTATTGTTATATGTAAGATCATTAAACACAGGATTACTTTCTGTTCCAAGAACATAACACAAAAGAGGTGGTGAGAAGTGCTTCGACGCTCCCAAACTGTAGAACTCCTTCCCACAAGCAAAAAAAGCAGCTTTAAAAAGCAGCTTTAACATTTTTTACTTTAGCTTTTATATATAGTATCATTTTACTATTTATTTATTTACTTACTTACTTATTTTTTTCTGAGCTACAGTTCAGTTCTCTGCCCAATTTGTTATTACTATTTTATTGTAAATACTTATTTATTTTATTTAATTTATTATTATTTTTAGATTTTTTTTTCTTAGAATTTTTATTACATTTTTTCACAATTTTTTGCTTCTTCCCTTATGCTATATTTTTCCTTATGCTGTGTTAATTTATGAAATAATGTATATAAATGTTTTATTATTATTATTATTATTATTATTATTATTATTATTATCAATACAAGTGTTATACACAATCATACACAATCCCAGTGGAACCCATTAGTAGGTGGGAAATGGCAGCAAATAAATTGAGAGAGAAATTGGGTAGAAAATGATATAATAATATAATAAGTCCCACATGCACAGGTGTGTGTGTGTGTGTGTGTGTGTGTGTGCAGGTAGGATTTTGTCCCTACCCCTGTTTGAAAGTGTAGTCTGTTAAAAATCGTGGGAGCACATCTTGGAATTTGGATAGTCCTGACTGTGCACTCTCCAAACTATACAGACTGTCATGATAGCATGAGGGACAAGTTAATGGTCTATAGATGATCTATTAAACATCAAGAGTTATAATAATGTGAAAATAAGAAGGGATACAGGTTGTTGACAGGCTCTTCATCCTTTATTCTCTTCTTGTAGAGTGTCGAAAGTGGACTATCCAAATAAAGTGTTACCAAAATCTTCTATGTAATAGCTTACAGATGAAATTGGTCCAAACACTTAAGGAGTGATTGACATCATAAGCCCTATCCAGACGGGATTAAATTTACATGGGGTCCTGGGATAATTTCCTATGTTACAGTTGCATCTCTGTGACTTTATTTCCGGATCGGCCATGTCGATGTTTTTCTCAGGCCTCCTCTGAGAAAATTACAGGCCGCATTACCTACTGTTTTTCACCAAACTCAGCACTCGTCTGATCATTTTAGTCCTGCCTGGATACACGTCTGTGATCTTCTACGCAGATGTCACCTCGTGTTGGAAAAAAAGATGCTGATACTTGCTGTATTCAGTCTCGTAGCATGTATCATTGCTCCCCCCCCCCAAGATATTAAACACTTCCCGAGTCACGAAATGAAAAAATGGATGCTTCTCGTATTCTTTGTGATAAGTGTTTTATTGTCAAGTTGTTGCTGAAACTTTCTTTCACTTCAAACTGAAATAAAAGCCAGCATCTCTTCTTGTCTCTACTCCAGTGCCTTTTCAACTGCTTGGACTCCATGTTGTGAAGATGTTGTGATCGCCATGATCGCCATGTTGAGCGATCAGGTGACCACGTGACACAAACATCCACAAGAAAGTCACTCCTCCTGTAGTCATTTTATTGCTGTCCACATGTGAGATTACTGAACAGGGCTGAATAGATGACTATCAACATTCAGTCATCTTCAGAAGCCACTTTATTCTGGTCCTGGATGCAGGAATACACTTAGCATGAGACACCAGTGTATCACAGTGCACCATGCACACACACATTCACACACTTATTTACACCTTGGGGCAATTTAGAGCATCCACCTACAGGCTTTGATAGGTGAGAGGAAACCGGAGAACCCTGAGGAAAGACACACAGACACTGGGAGAACATGTACAGAAAAACCACAATGTCAATGATTTGAGCTCAGGATCGAGTTCAGGATACTGGAGCTGTGAGATGGCAACGCTGTCCGTTGTACACCATGAATAAATAAAAAAAATATACAGTATAAAATCATGATATCTGTGATGGCACTTATTGGTTTACTTGCTTTTTTGTTCTAACAGGCTCCTAGAGAAGACAGTGTGTAGGTGATGAGACAGTATGTAGGTGATGGAAACCATTCAGCCACATTTTTAATAGACTTTTCTGTGACAATCGTGTGATTGTGGGAAGCTGGCGTGGATTTAAACACTGGTACAATGGAAGTGTATCATTTCTGTGAGATGTGATTAATCTATTAATGCTTTGCCTGTACTTTTGTCAATTAATCATGCAAGGGTTTTTTTCTTTTTGCATTTGTTTTTGTGTTTTTTGTCCAGCATAATTTTCAAAACAGCTACACCCTTTGACACACACATCGCAAACACCAGATTTTCTTAATAACCCTTTTTTCACATTGTCATATATAAAAGAAATAAGATATTAAACATTATTTGGCATGTTACTTTAAAGAAATTCAGCACTTAACCTTTTATTTTTGGAAAAAAATTATTAATACTCTTCAACTGTTTGGGATCAAATAGGTTTTTGTCCAGAACAGAAGGAGTTAAAGAACTAACAGAAAGGCCACGTCATCTATTAATTCTTAAATTCTGGTCGAGTCTGAAATAATCCATTTGATATACTTATTCATTTCAGATCTGAAACAAAATAGCCATTTTTTCTCACTGTCGTATTCCTTCAAAATCGAAAGGAATGGCCATTGCTAAACAGAGCACACTGGAGCAGGGTTAAATCAGGCCAGAGCCATTTATTGCTGGTTATTTCCTCTCATCACTAAATTAGCGTGGCTGTTGCTACAGGCTTCCTTCCTCTTCTGCTCACTCCAGAATGAAGGGGACAAGACGAGGCAGGAGGCTAGCTATTTGGAAAGCAGCCCAAACTACTTAAGGATGGTGACGTTTTGCAGAAACAGGTGGTGCGAGTGACATAATATTGGCTCAAGTGTGAAACACTGACATATTACTGCGTACCAGGCTGCCAGGAAAAGTAATTACGCTGTCAATATGAACAAGTACTCGATATATATGACTGGAATGTTCACTAATAAATGGCTTTGAAATCACCTTTTATTGGATTAGTCTTGGTTTTGATGGCTTTTTAAATTTTTTTTTATTTTGTCAGAGTCCAAACTTGCCCCATTTGGTCAAAGGCGTAGGATGAGGAAGCTATTTATGTTCATACACTCTTAACTTCTGGCCCGGCATGCTTTTGGAGCGGAATGCCATTCAGAATGCAGAAAATATATTTAGTTCTCACCAACAGACGGCGAAAGGCACCAGCGTGTCTGGCTCAGCAGGGCAACAGCTACTTTTGTCACGGTGTGAACTTTCTATTGCGCTAATCTGCTGCTCAGCTCCTTCAGCCCAATTAAAGACTTGCATCTAAATGATCTTGAATCATATGAATCATATGAAGAATGGTGAAGTTTTACAGGAAATGAGGAATGGATAAGTTAAACAGCAGTGTCCAGATGGATATTTCTGATATAGCCTGTATTTTGACTTTAATTCTAGTCCAATGGGCACTATTGTTACGGTCTTGACATGAAAAATCAAACTGTGAATAAAGCTGTCTTCATCGCATACGTAGGTACTATAAATGCACACATGACCAGAATGATTTGCTTCCCACTTGATCCATACACACAGAGAAAATCAGTAAGCAAATCATGCGTCAGTAATGTCATATGTCAGCGTCAGTAATGACAGCAATAACAGTTGATGTCCACTACTATAATGCCTTTATTACTTTTATCTGTAAATGTGATAGGTGTCATGACAGGTGTCATAATATTTGATGTCTTGACAGATAATATCCTCATTTTTTGCTCGTGTGCTCTAGTTCATAGGTGCATATGATGTTTGAATACTTTATGATAGCTGTTATAACAGTGAGGATATAACATCTTATGTGACATCATGAAAATCATTCTAAGAACAGGTACTGTAAATATTTATAAAATTCTTTGACAGTTTGTGTATGATACACCAGCCTCGTTTTAACATCAGCTGCCCCAAAATATGGTATCTAACGAGTATGTTAATGATACACAAAAACACATTAGTCATTCACTGTGTAGTTTTTGTATAGTGGCTTTTTAGTTTCGAAATCCTCTTAATATTTTAAGACATACATAATTTCTGTCTCTAGGTGAGCAACTCCGTTTTAACACTATGACAGACACGTGACACAATAATGACATTTTGGCAAAGTCACAATAATGACATTTTTGTATAAAGCACACATTAAACCCTATAACTATCTGGACACAATATTGACACACTTTACTTTTTATGTAAAGTAAAGCAGCCACTTTTAAATCATCTTAGCACTCTATGACAGACAATTGACATGATAATGACTTTGTTTCTATAGCTAAAGTAAAGCAAGGCTCTTTTTAACTATGGTACCACTCTATAACAGACCCATGACACAGTAGTGACATTTATGTCTATAGCTAAATTAAAGCAGCCCATTTAAAGTCTCTTAACCACTCTATTACAGACACATGACACAATAAAGACATTTGTTTCTATAGCTAAATTAAAGTAACCTAATTACAGTCTAATGAAAAACATAGGATACTATAGTGCCATATTTCTACATCTCAACACTATTACAGACATGACACAATGATTATTTTTTTCTATAGCTAATGTAAAGCAGCCTATTTTACCTATAGTAACAGTTTAATGACAAACACAGGGCACTCTAATGACATTTCTTTCTATTGCTAAACTAAAGCAAGGCTCTTTTAACCATTTTAACAGTCTACGACACACATATCACACAATAATGACATTATTTCACTAGCTAACACTATGGCAGACGCAACACAATAATGATATTTTACTATACTGTCACTGTCTGACAGACACATGACACAGTAATGACATTTTTCTCTTCCTAAAGTAAAGCAGCCCATTTTAACTATATTAACACTCTAATGACAAATACAGGACTCTATAATGACATTTGTTTCTACAGCTAAAGTAAAGCAGCCCCTTTAAACTATATTAACACTCTATAACACCCACATGACACAGTAATGACACTTATTACTATGAAGTGGTAGCTCAGTGGTTAAAATGTTGGACTTCTGGTCAGAAGGCCATGAGTTCACATCCCAGCACTTTCAAGCTGCCCCTGCTGGGCCCTTGATCAAGGCCCTTAACCCTCAACTGTTCAGTTGTGTAAATGAGATAATTGTAAGTGGCTCTGGATAAGAGCATCTGTCAAATGCCATAAATGTAAATTTATTAAATCTTTTCTAGTTAGTAGAGCTGGGTGATAGGACAACGTAATCATATCTTCGCAATGACTAACACAACATAAAACAGAGAAAGCAGACCCAGATTTAGAATTCTGATGATCTTATTTTTAAATTTTGGATGTATGGGATTGGAGGATTGATGATGGACTTTGGGGAGTATAATGCCAAAACCACAAAAAATAGACAACCAAATATAAAGTATTGCTAATTGAGATTTCCAGAACGTCCAGAATGTAAATTGTACTACAGCCTTCCAGCTAGTAATGATCACTACTGATCTGGGATCTGGTGCAAGGTCTAGAACCTGAAAAGTACTAAAGGTATCATCTAAGTGCTGTCATCTTTTTATAGGACTTAGTGTTGACTATGTTTTAACCGCACACAAGTAGGAATCTACAATATAGATTCTACAACATAGAAAAACATAGAAAAAACACGTTTAAGTGAAACTTGTATCCTCAGGCATTCCTTAAGAACATTTAAACCCAGACCCACAGCTTTGCCTTTCAGCTCTTTCTGCATATTGAGTAGCTCTGCTCTGATCACTCTCTAACACATACACACATTAAGCTAATTAATAAACGATAACTCTGGGTAAATTGTGTTCCTGTACAGCTGAATGGAGCTCGGCTTGATAAGGGAGCAGCTGTGTTCACCCAACATGTCTTCAAGCAGCTGAAACAGGACTGAATAAGAACAATAAATGTGTTGGCTGAATGGGAGAAACACACACAAGCGTTTACTCACAGCTACTAAGCAACTGATGTCTCACTGTTTGTCCTGAGCGATGTTTAAGCTGCTTAGCAAACCCTGTTTGTCCAGCTTGATCAGTGTATAATTGTTGTATGTATATGTTGTCTTTTCTTTTGATTTGCAAGACCAGTTTGGAGGCTCTCTGACTCATATAAAAATGTACGTTGGCTCATGTTAAATGAATTTTTGGTCAATTGTACCCCTTACGATGCTAAAATAACTGGAATAAATGAAAACAGTGAGTCTCTGAAACACACAGGCTTATGGAAAGCAAGCCGCAGCCAGGAACGAGTTCTGAGATTAAAAATATAGACGTATAAATAAAAGTATTCACTAGAGTTAAGATTCCACTCCACTAAGCTAAAGCACTTTCCTTTTGATTTATTTTATTTTTAATCATCTTGGAAGCTCGTCCTTATTAGAGCTCCATTGAGATAATAAAGCACTTACCCTGCAGGCAGGCATCTTTTTTCCTCTGACAGTAATTTACATATGATTTATTTAGAGAACAAGAGGCTCGGCTAATTTTATTTGGAGATTTTCCTTTGTTTTAGGAGTCATTAGCAGCTTAGCCTAATCCGATTTGGACAATTTCATCAAGGCCATTTTGGAAAACCTCTCAGAGCTCATCAGAAAGATGCATTTATTGCTAAGTGTGCTCTATTGCATTAACGCACAATAAAGCGACCAGGGACTCCTACAGACGTTTGAGCGGAATCCAGTTAACACTCTGCCAATTCGTTTTTTATTGGGACGCAATCAATTTTTATTCATTTTAAAACCGAAAGGCTTTCTTTCATTGTGTGCCATCTCAGGCTTATTATCAGGATAAACAAATTACTCACGTTGTTTGCGCAAAATGCTAATGTTTATGGTGGTGACTTCCTATTTTAAAATGGGCGGTCGCGTCTGCATATGCATTAAACACTTAATGGGATTCACAGGCCCTTCATATTCAGCTCAAGGAAGTTGGCAAGTTCCTGTATGAAGACTGCACATGTATATGTATCACGTTATAGCCTGGTTCCTTTTTTATGTAAAATGTAAATGTATTCTCTTGCAAGCTTGCAAGGTTTCTATTTCAGAGCAATATATAATATTTTGAACATAGTAATCTAATGTGATTAATTTGAACAAATTAATATATAATATATAATATTTTGAACAGAGAAATGTAATGTGATTAATTTGTTCAAATATTTCTCCAATGTTCTTTAACCTACCCATCTTTTATTTCATTAAAGAGCGTTTTGTCATTTACTAACACAGTAAGATATACTGTACTGTATTACTAGCTAAAGCAATGTAGTCATGTTTTGAATAACATTATGTACTACATGTAGATATATAGGTAATGCTTCATTTTAAGGCTGTATTAAATGACTTTATAACACAGTGCTATTAAATTCTCGAATCTGATTGGTCAGAAGGTCCTGATTAATTTTCCATAACAGCAGCTCTTCCAGTATTTCTGGCTTTAATCCAAATCACACATTTATATTAATGCGCTCAGTCTAATATGTTATTGTTTTTACAGTAACACCTCATTCACAGGGACTTTTATGGCAGATGCTCTAGATAATCTAAGGCTAGTTTCTAAAACCTGCTGCTATTTAACAAAGAAAAATGTATAATCCTTGATATGGTGAAGCTTTATGTAAGGACACATTTTAACATTTATGGAAAGAGTCTACAGTGTTAGTAATTTGTTACAGTGATTTGCGCTTGATGATGATCATTAACTTAAAGAATGAGAAAAAACGAGAGGCTGATCAGAGAGAGTGGCTGCTATAACTTATGCAATAACAGGAACTAACTTGCAGTTACATTAAATGTTACTAGAAATGGATAAAAAAGTATGACATCCTTCATTAATAAAACATGGCGGGATATGCTGTTATTGGAAAATAAACAACTTCAGGTGGTAACAGTAACCCTGCTTTGTGTTGGTCGGCATCACATCGCCCCATCACTGATTATTTTCCTAAAACAGTGGACCGTGTCATGTTTTATTCCTTACTTCCTGTATTTGAGGCACTGGTTAAGATGAACAAATCCAACTTGAACAATTTAGCATCTGCATTAAGGAATGTTCATATCCTCAATAAGTAACATTAAACCAACAATGACCAATATAAACCAACACCTTAATTTTAATTATCTTAATTAAAATTCAGAACTGAGGCTGAAAATGAAGTTCCAATGTTTCAGAAAGTTCAGAAAGATATTAACATTTAGGAAAATGCTGTATTTTACTTTATGGTAATTTATGTGCATTTATTTTAAGTCATGAGCCAAATAGATTAATCAATGTATATCTATTTCATAATATTATAATATCAGTTAATGCATGCTAGTTGTGTAAGGTTTATTAATTCTAAAGCTTATAGTTTGCTAATGTTAACTAAACTTGTGTTTAATCTTACTTAAGGGGACCTTAATGTAAAGTGTCTAATGCATATTTAATGTTTTGGTTTAGTGTGTTCACAGCATTCGGTATGATAATTTCATTATAGTTCATAAAACCGCCAAAAAAACACAAATAGACTGCAGTTATTTTTTGTATTTATATAGTAAGTAGTAAACATACTTCTATATTACAAGCTTAAGCTGTAATAGCCTTGTGTCAGTCTCAAATAAATATGTAATATTTTTCACATAGTAATGTTATCTGTTCCAGTTTAACGTTCTCAGACAGTCAAATATTTCTCCAACATTCCTCACTGCGAGTCTTCTTGAACCCACCTGTGTTACGGTATAATCTGGTTACGGTGAGTGTGTGAAGAACCTTTAACACACTCGATATCTGAGTGCCTTCAGAAGCACATTAGATGTGGATCAGAGACTCGGAGGAATACTTAAGTGCTTCTGAAGACAAGACACACAAAAAGGCTCCAGCACAAAGAAAGCTTCCTAATGGCTCCCACAAGGACGTGATATCATTTCGATTTTTTTTTCGCATCCGATAGACGAAGTTTTTCTCCTCCAGGATTCTCATGGAGGAACTTTCAACCTGGATGCGAAAGTATTCACTCCACAGCCAACTTCTGTTCTCTCTGTCTTTCTGTCCTTGTGCATGATTTCGATTATGTAGAACACTAGATTTAACCATATAGATTTTCAACATTTCCAGAAAGCCTAAACTTACTGTAGACCTCGAGAATTTCCAGAACTTCCAGTAAGGGCTGCTTTACACTGTACGATTTTCAGCAATCATGAAAGAATTCCTTGCGTAAGAATAACAAACATCGCTTAACGTCAAGTTCTCACCAATGGCCAATTTTGTGCCTTTGCAACCAAACAAACAAGATTTCTGCCAAAACAGGTTTGGACCAAATTGTTGCAATGTGAATGCTGCTTTGATGGACATCTAGAAAGCAGAAAGCATCGTATAGGTCTAAGGTAATATATTCGTAATTATATAATCTGACTTGCAGCATATGTGAACATAACTGACATTGCACAGTCTGCCACAGAGTATAACCAAGACTTTATTGTCATCATCTCATTAAGTCTAAAGCCATGTACGATTTCCGGCCCAGCTGTGCTGTGACAGTTAAAATCACACATCATAAAACAATTCTTTGGTGGTCTTGGAATATATATTGTGACGTGCTCAACAGTTCTCAAGTTCTGGCAGTGTCTGAAAGTTTTTTATTAAAATGTGACCACTGCTAAGACTCTTGTCTAAAAGCCACCAATAGGAGCACGGCACTGGATGACACGAAACCCATGGAACAGCTACAAATACAGTAGTGGTAATACTGAAACATAAACAAAAGCAGGCTAATGGACTCATGCTCTTTTTGAAGAATGTTTCTATTTATGCAACCCCATTTTCTGCACGAGCCCAGATGATATGCTGACTGATGATGTAAGCAGAATATAATAAGTCTCTTTAATCACATTAGACGATCTTTATCATACAATCTGGCATGGAGAACATGTTATCGTGCATTCTGTTATAGACGTCAAGATTTTCAGTCAAGATTTTATTGAGATCATCATACACACAGTGCATACCCATAATGCAAAGCAACCTTGAGTCAAGACTCTCTAAACTTAGATTCCCTGGACACTTAGACTCCCTAAACCACTAGATTTCCAAGAAGCCTGGTTTCTCTAGATGACTTCTTTCACTTCCAGGAAGCACACTTTTCCTATACCCTTAGACTCACACAATATCTAGGAAGCCTAGATTGCCTAGTCCTGCTTTCCCAGGACCACTAGATTTCCAGCACTTCTGTGAGGCCTCAGATTCCCTAGACACCCTAGATTCCCTACACACTTTCAGTAGACCTAGATTCCTAGAATCCCATCATGCTCTAGAAGCCTATATTTTTGATCCCTGGTATCTATACACCCTCAGATCCATAAAATCCTTACACCACAACAATTCCATGACTTCTGGGAGGCTTAAATTTCATAGACCTCTGGAGACCCTGGACCCTTACATTTGTTAGACAACTGAGAAATAAAAGTCCAAATGAAACCATTTATACATTTTAATATTTATTTCATACAGTTGAACTTCTATTCCCTGTGTGTCCATGAAATGCAGGTGTAGAATCTGCATTTTTTTAATTTTTTTTTTTATTTTAAAAAGGGTTTATTGATTAAACAGGATAGTGTCCTGTGATAAGGAAATCTGAAATAGTGATATCATTAGCGTTATAGAGGTGTTGAGAATGACATTACAATAAGTAGTGTTTATTTTAAGGTATAGTGCATTGCCTTAAATCTGTTTCAGGATTATACATTTCTAAACAGATGACAATTAGATATAGTAATGGTTCTGCATTATTCTGATCAACTTTAGACAATATTCTAGCCATTCCTTTACAGAATAATTAAATATATCACACTGTCACACATCTACTAACCAAGTACGGTTTATTATTATTATTATTATTATTATTATTATTATTATTATCAAATTGACAGGGAGCTGACATTTCAGCAGTGCCCACTTTTTTCTTTTTTTTCTTTTTTTTTTTTTATAAATGCTTTCAGCACATTGGCGAGATGACAAGTGATCATTGATCTGTCTTTACTTAGAAGGAGCCGTATTAAATAATGTATGGCTGCGCGTGCATTAACCTCGGCCTGCACGTCCTCTCGCTCCATTAGCGTGATCTCTACGGCCTTTGAGGTCCTCGGGCTTTCATTTAATTAAATTGTCCCATAATGAAATCTCCCATAACGAGATTAATTTTAATTATTCATCAGCGGACGATCTGAGCAAGAAGGGGCCATTAATAATGCACGAGGTCCGATAAACATTTTTCAATTCATTGCCTTCTGCTTTTGTAAAAGGTGCCATTTATTAAGAGGACAGTGATGGAGGTCAGAGATAAAAACACATACCTGTAGGGCAAACTAGTGACTGACAGGACTCAAATACCCATAATACACTTTGTGCCTTGAACTATAGAAGGAATTATAAACCGGAAAAACTAGCTAATAACTACATGCCAACAGATTGGCACATCTCTTGTTCATCAGTTCAGTTTCATAGAGGATGAGGATACCAAATTTTGTGTAAAATGTGTTGATCTGTGGTGGCTTTTTAAATTCATAAATAAATTAATAATAAATTTTACTAGAGTAAATATGTAAAGACCAGGACATTTTTTCTAGGCTAAATCTCAAGCGGCACACAATGCACTATGTAGGATGTACAAAGTAATTATGTTATATCCTCGGTAGAGTGCATAAGTTGTAAACATGTAGCTATTTGTGATTCTGGGCATAAATAAAAGTATATTTCAACATGGTGATGCATTGATAATGGTGCACATTGAGTCACAGGCCCAATATTGTCTTACATTAACACTAGAATGGTGTATTGATATATCATTATATAATATATCTATATGCTGGAATAAGACCTGATGACGTTTTTCCAATCTTCAGTTGTCCAGTTTCGGTGAACCTCTGCTTACTTTTGCCTCAGATTCCTGCTCATGGCTGACAGGAGTGGATCCCAATGTTGCCTTTTGCTGTAGCCCATCTGCCTCAAGCTTTGATGTATTGTGTGTTCTGAGATGCTTTTCTGCTCACCATGGTTGTAAAGAGTAGTTTATTCAGTTACTGTCTGTTTGAACCAGTCTGATCATTCTCCCCTGATCTTTCTCATCAACAAGGCATTTGCAGCTGTAGAACTGCCACTCACTGGATGGTTAGTTGTTGTTTTTTTCGCACCATTCTGTGTAAACTCTAAAGGCTGTTGTTTGTGAAAATCCCAGGAGATCAGCAGTTTCTGAAATACTTAAACCAGCCCGTCTGACACAAACATCCATCCATGCCAAGGTCAAAGTCACTGAGATCACATTAACTGAAGCTACTGACCCATATCTACATGATACTGTGTATGTCTTAATTTATAGCTCATATTGTCATTGTGAGAGAACTTAATCACATATTTTGTCCACATCATTCAGCCCTATTGCTATCTGTGATTCCATTCTGTTTAATTAACAGTTACACTTTAAATTGGCAGCCACTGTCATTAGTAGTCAGAGAATTTCAGTCACAGTAACAGTAACATTGTATATAACAGTACTAAAAATGCTTGATGAAAGTATGAAACATTAAAAATCTTTGCTGTTTTGTTTTTTTGTTAAGCAACTCTTCTGTGTATATAATAAATGTGCCTAAAGAGACGAATGTCTATGCAGGGCTCGTCAATAACGTATTAATTATTCAAGCCTGTTCAGTGAGATAGAGTTTCCGCTAACGCGTAATTTTGGAAATTGCATAGTCATCATGTGATTGGTTCATGATGGTAAATTGGGATGGAGAAAGTTCCAGTATCGTATATCGTGTAGAAGTGAGTCAAACTGAGTCCAATTTAGTTATAAGCTTTTTCATCATTACTAATGGATAGTGGGATGTTTTCTTGATAACCTCTCCACACCCATTTCACTGTAGTGTAGTACACTATTTGAGGAGTCAAAGTGTCTGAGTTTTTAAAAATTATTTATTTATTGTTTGCTGTTACACATTGTACAAGTTGTTTGTTTACATCTAAAGGATATGTTACACTCCTTTGAGGAAAATAATGTGCATATTTTGGATAGAGATACCACCTCTGCTTTGTCTTGTTTGTGTGGTTGTACCATTGAGGATGCTTGTTTATACCTTTAATGTGTAACTTTTATTTGAGAATGTGTATGTAGTGTACTTTTAATTAGATTGTTTTTTGATTAGTAAAGTGCTGATAGTAGGTACCTGGCTAGCTCAGCTGGTAGCATATGGGACTCTTGAGCTCAGGACTGTGGGTTTGAGTCCCACACTGGGCACTAACCCCAGCCATGAAGGGCGCAAAGGCTAGTGCACTCTCAGCACTGGTCCCAAGCCTGGACAAATAGGGAGGGTCGCGTCAGGAAGGGTATCTGGCGTAAAACCCGTGCCAAATCAATATACAGACAATGAAAGGCGATCTGCTGTGGTGACACCTAATGGGAGCAGCTGAAAGACCAACAACAGTAAAGTGTTAATGGTGCATCAGTGGTCCTTAAGGTCCAATTATATATTTCAGTGTATATAATATATACTGAAGGTACAAAAGAAGTAGCTTTGTTGGTACCAACACAGGACAAGGAAGAGTACACAGTGTGGGTTTCCATAGTGGGGGAAAAGCTGAAAACAAAGACTGCAAGTGAGTCTGTTAACTTCTGTTACATTTCCAGAAGATTGCTAAAGCAATAGAAATTAAAATGGCACTTTTTGGTTAGCATGTCTTTGATTTTTTGTTTTTTTCCCCTGTAGAATCTTCTACCTAAATTGCATACTGCATTATCTTTATGATTCAGAAAGTTAAATAACATGTAATCTCTACAGTCTGAAGAAAAAAAAAGAAAGGGGAGGAGTCTACTCACAATAGTGTGTGAACATCAGAACGTAAAATGTTTTTAAAAGGACAAATAAATGCTTATTATATGCTGAAATTCCAATGAAAAGCCAAACTGAATGAGTGCGCCATTGTTTTCAGGCCAAACGAACTCAGGTGCAGAGGAATGAATGAACAAAACCCTAAATTACCTCATTTGTTCTCTCAATCCCTCCCCCCCTTCAGGTAAATGCACTCTAATTGGCCAGACGGGTTTTACCTGTATGACATCCAAAACCTTCGCTGTAGCCATGGCAACAGGAAGTTTTCTGACCTATAAAAAGTTGCAGGTGGTGTAACTGAAACTCAGCTGCGAGTGTTTCCACGCTCCACTCTATTTATAGACAGGTCAAGCTGTGAGAGCGGCTTAAACTGCGTATACCTTCTGCACTGCTTACATTCTCTACTCAGACAGATAAAAAAGCAATAATATATTTAAAAATTAATATATAATTGATTTACTGTATGAGTTCCATGATAAATTAGTTCATAGAGACAATTTCCACATCAAAAATTGTAATTATTTCTTCAGCTGTCAAAAAACTAAAGAGTCAACTTGTGTTTCTCAATTGCTTAGCTTATTATACATGGCTACTAATCAAGGAAACCACAAGTTTAACTCTGAATATTGATTTAAAATGGTTTTTTTTTCACTACAGAGGTTTGCTAGCAAGGTGAACACTAGCAGGCTAGTATATTTAGCCTAATGTCAGAGCTAGTAACCCAGTGAAACATTAGTTTATGTAGTGTTGTAGGGTTAAACTGAACATTTTCACATTTCCATGAGACAAACAGAGTTTTAATGGCCTGTTAATCAGAAATAATAATGTACTGTGCTAAACTAGAAGTTAAAACCTTCCTTCACTTGTTAGCAACATTAGCCTCATAGCAGCATTTGTTGTAAGAGGGACATTGTGCACTTAATTTTGGCCAAATTCTTTCTAATGGAACTAATTCTACAGATTTGGTTGGCTCTTAAACTGTTGTTGACCCCTGGTTATTTTTAAACTTCATGCCATGAATCAAGTCACTTTATACGATACTTTTAACACTTCACACTCACGCTGAGGAGAAAAATCATTTGCCTCAGCATCTTCACTGTCCCATAAAATGAATAGCATTCCACACTCACATAATCCAAGTGTTGTACACTCCCTCTCTCTCTCTCTTGCTCTCTCTCTCTCTCTCTCTCTCTCTCATACATACATATACACACACAAGGAAATGGAAGCGAGGAAGTTCAGCTGTTAAAGATCTAACCTAGTTAAAAACCTGGCATCCGATAGCAACACACCCTCGCATTATATATGGTAAACAAGAGTGAGTGAATTATGTGTCTCAAACAGCCTGGAGGAGAACAAGTGTGCAATATTTTTAGTGCAGATCATTTCTAGAAGGCTGTTTCAAGTCAGAGTTCGAATCCCGACTTTTGCATAACAGAGTCTTTCACCCATGTCCAAGTTATTCTCCAGATTAATCAATTCCTTATGTAATTCTGTGGAGTCAAAAGCAATTGGCTATGAATGAAAATTGTTTTTATTTGGATTAATCCAATAATCATCAGATTCATTATTACAGTCAAAAACACAGGAGAATGAAGACACATTCTGTCATACTTTTGGATGCATTAATGCTGTGTTCATGAGTACAGTTCACACTGAAGAAAGCAAAATCACACCATTAAGAATGTGCTAAAATCACAGAGAAATGAAGTGTGGAATGCCAGATACTGTTTCCACTTTTTGTGAAGTCCGTCTGCTATATGTAGCTGAAGGGGCAGAGCCATCTGAGGACACTCCTAGTGAGGAATTAATACTGAAATTGTGCATATCGGTATCCAGACCTCTGGTATACCTACAGACTTACACACTACTTGGAAAGTTTTGTGAGATTTGCATTGGAGAGTTGGGGCTTTATGGGGAGATATGGTACACACGATTCTGTCCTTGGATTTAAGTTGATTTTTCTCTTGACATATCATCTAGAGCGAGGAGCTGTATTAAATCCAGCACCACTGTGTTATGTAACAACAATTTGTAAAGCTGAAAAACTATGGAATGTCATTTGAGACCTGAATGAAGAAGACAGCATATTTAATCTTGCTTAGCTCAAGGAAAGAATTTTTTTATAGATAAAATTATGCACTAGACATAGTAGATTAGTGCTTGGTCAGCTTATCCTTCAAACCAAGAGCACGTTTTTCTTTAGAACGCACTGAGTTAACACAACAATTGCCTTGTATATCCTGGCATTGGTATTACAACATACATCTACTCATATTACAATTGCATGAGCTTGATTTCACATCTTGCTGCCACTTTAGATTGTGTACACAATTACCTGTCAGCGCAAAAAAAAAAAAAAACAGAAAAAAAATCTTATTTGTGGCCTGACCAGTTACTTGCTGCAGCTCTCAACATTAGATACAGTGTTTTTCACCCGTCTGAGCTTTAGATTTTCTTCTGGTTTATCATAGAAAATAATAGAAAGTGCTGGATCAAGTGCTATTTTCTAAGCTGATGAATAATGATGGTGGACGCCATATTGTTAAATTAAACCAAATTTGCAGTGCTTAATGTGATATCTACAACGAGGATTATTAATTTAGCAATATATTGGCAATATTTTTTATATATAATATGTATTTTATGTTTTTTACAATCTTCAGTTGTCCAGTTTCTGTCAGATTGTGCCCACTGTAGCCTCAGATTCTTGTTCTTGGCTGACAGGAGTGGAACCCGATGTGGTGAACCTGATGTTGTAGCCCATCCACCTCAAGGTTTGGTGTGTTGTGCGTTCTGAGATGCTTTTCTGCTCACCACGGTTGTAAAGAGTGATTATTTGAGTTACCATAGTCTTCTCTTCTGACCTCTGTCATTAACAAGGCTCACAGAAGTGATATTCACTGGAAGTTTTCTTGTTTGTTGCACCATTTTGTGTAAAATTTAGACACTGTTGTGCATGAAAATCCCAGCAGTTTCGGAAATAATGAAACCAGCCTGGATGGCACAACCAACCATTCCACAGTCAGTCACTGAGATCATTTTTTCCCCATTCTGATGATTGATGTGAAACTCTTGACCTGTATCTGCATGATTTTAGGCATTGCACTGCTGCACCATGATTGGCTGATTGGATAATTGCATGAATGAGCAGAGATACAAATGTTCCTGGCTAGTAAGTGTATATAGAAAAGATTTTTAAAAATTAGTAAGTTTAGATTGACTTTTATTTAGGACTGAATGTCACTACTTGAAAAGTGTTTAATTTCCTGTTGTTAATCACCTTTTGTGGTGTTTTCAGCATTGTAAACTGGCTAAACAGCTGCACCTGTCCAAGCATGTTTTACTTTTCTAAGCTCTGGTGTCATTTAGCAAATTTCCGTAATCCCTTTCTCTTGCACTCTCTCCCACAGTCTCCCACAGTTCCTCCACATGCCAGGGGAACTTCCTGATAGTGTGAACACAGCCATTTGAGTTCACATTCATTTTTTTATACTTTCACCTTGTTCCTCTCACCTCAAAATCTCTTATATGACTTTTGATAATGATTAGAGAAACTAACCCATAAAATTTTTATATAAAAATATCCTTCTTGTATCGTTCCACTCTCAGTCAACATTTAAAATGGGTCATTTGGTCCCAGAACAGTAAGGTTAAGAATTCAGTGCAGCACACACTGCTGTTGGTCCATGTGCAGTTACGTAGGTGGAAAATGACATTTATGATGTTGAGCAAAGCTCTGGTTTTACGAGGAAATTTTAAAGAGAAGCACAGCTGAGTGAGTGTTTGATGAAGTCAGCTCACACACTGAGGGAAAGCGGTGACAGCGGGGATCAGGAGTGTGTAAATTTATTATAGCTTATTCACAGCAGGATGGAGAGTTCTGTTAGTCTGCACAAGAGAAATGATTTTACAGTCACCTTTGCCTTCTTACTTGATATGTTTATTTGTTTCAACAGTTTCCATTAGAGTGGAAAATTGGAATATTGAGAAGATCATTACTTTGGAGATGTGTAAAATCTATACAAAATAGACATACTGTGTGATATATTTATATATGATATGATTCAGTTTATCATTGTTTAGTTCTAGTTTGTTGTCTTCTAGTCAGTAGTACCACAAAATTCACCTCTCTGACTTTGTATTTTCCCTAGTTTTGTTGGCTTCTAGTTTCAAGTAACCCTTGATTAGCCCTAATAGAAGTAGTTCCTATATTTTTTCCTAGTTTCTAGTTCCCCTAGTTTACTTATCTCTTAGTTATAGTTTCCCTAGTTAAGTTGTAATTTAATTATTAGTTCCACAAAATTCTTGTCTCTAAGTTGCCAATGCTTAATTTTGTTAGCGCCTAGTTTCAATTAACCTTGGTGGGTTCCCTAGGTCCCACTTTCTGGATTCTATAGTTATGTTG